ATCCTTAATATTAACCTTAGAGCTAAGTCCAAACTCATGGTATCACGATTTCGTTGAACTAAGGTAAACGATTCTTTTATGGGGAACTGTATGCTTTTTTACAATAAGATTCCGGAAAATATATTAAGATTATTTCCTAAGTTTAAAACTTACATTGAAAGTATTTTAATTGAAAAGTCATATTACAAAATTGAAGAGTATGTTTTAGATTATGGAAAGACAACAAGAGTCTAGATTCCACACAATTATGATTCAAAGTGTATTCCTTTGCATTTAAGTTTATTTAAAAAGAGCAATCCCTAGTGTTTCTTGATCGTTCTTCTCAGGGACGTCAACGTAGTGAAAGAGCAGTAGCTTAAAAAGTAGCTAAAAAAATGACGTTTTCAAGTATAAAAATTTTACCTATGGAGTAAATGATTGTTTGACTTTGCCTTTGACTAACTATTATGGATAGGCGTTTTGCTGACCACGTCGTAGTGTCGTCACTTAATTGATATTATAAAAAAAAATATATAGTAATAAAAGGTATTCACTCTTAAGACGACGTCATGTTAAACAGAGTGTTATAACATTTTCCAACTGCATATGCAAATGGACTAACCCGTACTACTTGGTACTTGGTGCAACGGGCTGGTATCCGCAACTAGACGACAAGGCGCCTATTTTACGTGTGGTGGGTGCAAGCCCTACCCGTGTCACCCAAGCTCCTCCAGGAATCTCAGCAGCCTCCTTGGTTTGCTGAAGACTTCGGGGAGCGACCTTGGCACTCCAAGGTACTACGCCCTGTAGTTGGCCACGCCGGAGCACTGAAGTAGGATGTGCGCAGCTGTTTCCTCCCCCTCCATGCACGCTCTGCATAGAGGGCTGTCTGTGATACCTAAATTGAAAACGTGTTTTTTGTATGGACCATGACCCGTTAGGGCGGCAGTTAGGGGTTTAATTAATATTCGAGATAGACTGGCATTGAGCGTTGGGAGTGCTTCCCTCGCCTGTCTACAAACCGTAAGGGTGGTCTATGTATTATTATGTGAAGATTTTGTACCTTTGGTTATAGTTGTTCTTGACCATTGGTAGGGGAGGTACACTATCGGTTCTGGTCCTACAGCGTCCGTCTCCGACCCTTTTCTGGCTAGTTCATCTGCTGCGTCACTGCCACGTGTGCCGCTATGTCCTTTAATCCACTGTAGAGTTACATGGTTTTATGTATATACCTCCATGAGTGCTTGATGGCATTCGTAAATGCGCCCTGAGTACTAACCCGTAATACTATCAATCAAAAGTGGTGTTCTGTATTTAGTATGCCTTGCGCATTGTCCGATGCGAGTATCGTAGTTACGTGGATACTTTACGAAGGATTACACCATTGCAAAATTTGTTAGAGGTCGGATTGTGAGAGGTTTAATGTGCCTATTGAAATGGAGAGACAAAAATAATACGGTCGGAAAGTATCTATTTTGTCACTTAACAAAAAATAAGGTAGATACTTAGTGAATACTCAGCGAGTTTTACACAGACACTATATTGCTCGTGATATTGGAATTGTGTGCCATTGTGCGCGCGTGTAAAGACGTTGGAAGGAAAATGGAAAGACCGCGCGATCGCGCTCACTGTCGCGCGCTCCAACACGCGCTAGTTTCACGCGGTCTCTCCTGCTCTATTAGCCTTTACACGGACGCTCTTTCCGTTGTAACAAAAAGGAACACGTGTATTCGCGCGAAAGAACGTTAGCTTAAAAAATTCAAACGAATTGCGCACGATTATGCGTGCAGGCTTTCCCGCGCGTAACCTTGTACGCTCCTGCGTCCAGCAGCTTGATTTCCGGTCAGAAACTGCGTCTAATATTGCGGATCGGGTAGTCTCGATATCAGATGTGTTTCCGAGCGAGAAGATGAACCTGATTCCTACTGTAGCTTTCTAATTTGTGAGTTAAATCAACTATTGTTCCGATTAGAAATGTTAAAAGTTTCGACTCGCCTCGACTCGGAAGAGACGCAGTTTCCTATCGGGAGAGGCATTGACTTACAATTATATGGACGTCGGGTCCGCGCTAAAAAATGTCCGAACTTATAGGGCGTTAAAATCGTATACAGAGCGACAATCACGCTTTAGTCTTCGTTTGTTCGACTGACAGCGAAGCAAGCAAAATTAGACAGTATACTGCGATGACATTACAATTTAAATTCAACGTTTTAGCTTTAGTAGGCTAATTCCAGATGTTTTATAATGTATACCACTTAGAATAATAACGCATAGAATCATTGACTTACAAATAAATGGACGACGGGTCTAATACAAAAACCACGAAAAAAATGTCCCAAGTCAACCTATTTGAACGTAGTGACATGTCAAGGAATATGAAAAAGTAACGTCATCGCAGTACTGTCTAATTTTGCTTGCTTCGCTGTCAGTCGAACAAACGAAGACTAAAGCGTGAATGACGCTCTGTATACGATTTTAACGCCCTATAAGTTCGGACACTTTTTACCGCGGACCTGACGTCCATCTATTTGTAAGTCAATGATTTTAGATATCTTTTTGGGCAAATTTCTTTGTATTACAGCTTAGAAATAGATTTTCTTTTTAACAATAAAATAATTGGTGGTTATAAATTAATGGTTCACTATATAAAACAACAAATTGTAATTACGAAAGAACTTCCAGCGGGTCCTCTGTTTCATTGTAAGTCTTACTCTTAAACCACAATTTGACGGTCCTTTTACATTCTATTTTATTCATGGCGAAATAATGCAAATTAGAATTTAATTTGAAGTAAAGGAATGTACTAAGGACGCAAAAAAATCTATGCGAGTGTGCTGTGCGGAGTTGTGATCAGATGAAAAGGTATCGAGTCGTCTTTGGTTGGTTAAAGAAACGGAATCAAATGGAGTCTTTGAGTGCTTTATCAAAATTATTTGTTGGATAAACAGTTGCCGAACTGAGAGTACGTCGCGCTCATTTAGAAGTTTGCAGGTTGGATAATCGAAAGGACGGAAGTTGATGACTTTAAGAGCACCTCTCTGCGGTCTTTCCAGATTTATAAGGGTGGTCTTATGTGCATCGCCCCAGGACGTATTGCAGTAAAGTAGTAATGATTGGCAGACGGCTAAATACACTTATTTGAGAAGGGCGCTGCTAGCTGCGTATCTTACATTTTTAAAAACAAATATAAATTTTCGAACTCTAGAAGTAAGCGATTCAATATGGTTTTTGAAAAAAAACCGACCTCAAAAGTACGTGGAATTACGTCTATTTGCTAAGTTTTATTGAAATATCCCCTAGTTCGCCACTATACAGGACTTGACACTGGAGACAATAAAAATAGGTTCTCACTACGACACTGCACAAACTATATTGAGAGAAAAACGCCTTGAATTGGAGAAATAGCAAAATCAACCATTAAGTAATTGCTCCTGAATTAAAGTTAGGCGCTATTTATAAAAATGAATCTTCATGCGTGAACAGCCACCCTTCGAGGTGGATGATTTTCTTCAAAATGGGACCACAAGTACCCCTTTCCAACAAAAAAAGAATCCTGAAATACCGGAGTTATCGCGTAACATACATACAAAAAAAGAACATAGTCGAATTGAGAACCTCCTCCTTTTTTGAAGTCGGTTAATTAAGATGATTGTCAATTATGACACCTAAATATGTGCTTTCCAGTGTTGGACAAGCATAGAGGTTTAGATGAGTTCGAAGGCACAAGCCTATGCTTGTCCAGCAGTGTACAAACACTGGTGAGCTACTGTTGAAAAAGCATTCTCAGGAGGTTGTGATGAAATATTGTATGAGAAAGTCATATACTTAGTTTTGCTAGTATTCAGTGTAAGGGCCTTCGCTCTGAGCCACTCGGCTACTGAGTTAAAACCAAATTGAGCTTGTGTAAATGTTTCATTCCAACTTGAGGCGCTGAATAATAAAACTGTATCATCGGCGTAAGACGTGATCTTGCTACCAGAGAGGGGAAGAGCGCATAGTTGGTTAAAATAGACCAAGAATAGGATTGATCCTAATATGCTTAAGTAAGAAAGTATGAAGCTTCATTCCCATCAAAAGTCTTTTTAATTTGGGAGAGTATTACTTATTTCACAATACTTATTAAGGACAGATGTGTGACGGGGAACGAGAGTAGGTCCCCAGTAATTAGTGATAATAGTTTCGTTATTTTGACGGAGCGACGTGCGTACGTCAAACCCCTCAATTGACCACTATACTTCCTACTCCCCACCTCCGTAACAAGCTTATTATATTTATGTAACAAAGATGTTTATAATGTACTGGCCTTCTTCTTATCTTTTTTCATCCAAATTCCGTATCTCTTCTATAATCTGTAATTCTGCTTTCCCAACCCTTTCATTGGCTAAAGCCATTAATATAAAAAAAATGACGAAATGACAATATTTACTGTTTACGTTTACAAATATACATCGATTATATAATCAGAAATAGAGACGAAATGTCATTTAATTTGTTGGAAAACTATTCCGCCAAATCAATATTGTGACAACTGCGCTCCGATTGGCTAGCCCGAATTCGAAACAATTGACGGGTGTCGTCAATTGTTTCACTTCAAAACGACTAGTTTAACTTAGCTTTGCTATAATGGACGAAAATTGCAAAATTACATATTTAATATTTAATTACCGATGGAATGTGATTCCGTTTGTTTTGTAATTAGATGTTTTGCTGTTTTTCCCTCACCACCGAATGGAACAACCCCCCATAGTTAGAGATATTATCTTTATTACAATAAATGCGAATATTTTTGGAATATACGGAGACGTACACACAGGTCAGTTGTTGGCGCTGTACTATTTCAGCATTCTAATTTGTGATTTCAGCGCAAACGAGAGTTGATATTTAAATGTGATATAAGGCCCATTTGCCTGATGGCCCTTATTTCGTCTCTATTTCTGGTTATATACTCGATGCAAATATATAATAACAATATCTTCAGGCCAATAGATTTGTTTTCTCTAAAACATAACATTCCTTCTTCCTCAGGTCATGTCCGGATATAAAGAAGCTGTACCTTATTGCAAGACCGAAGAAGAATAAGGATACTGCAAAAAGACTACAGGAACAATTTGACGATGTGGTACGCCATTTTTAATTATTTATACACATTTATTACTACACTTAAACAGGATACTGAGTGGGACTCTTGGAAAACTTGAATTTTTTAAATACACTTTAAGCCAACGAAACTAGAGGTTCTTGTGAAAGAGTGCGTTCGGGCAAGTACTGCTACCACACCTACGTGGTGCGTAGAGATCTGGCCACACGCTGCAATCGCGCTGCGCTTTTTTTATTAAAAAATAAGTGCGCATTTGACTTCCATCTCACCTGATGGAAAGTGACAATGAGTTCAGAATAGAGAATATTCACTTTCGTCTTAAAAAGGTATAGCGTTCAGGGAACAAATCTGCAGGCAGAGAATTCCACTCCGTAGCCTTTCACCATATAAATGTGGAAGCGAAACGTGCGAATCCTTGGAATATCAATTAATCAATTAAATAATGAATCCATATACTAATTATTATAATTGTAGAGTTTAATATAGGGACCTTTACAGCTACCAGCAACTTACTAGAGATGGCTTTCCCACAGATCTTTGTGTTAATAATTGTAATAAAACTTGGCAATCATATATCATTCCACAAACTTCTGTGCTCGGTTTTTTATATAATGTTTCTATTTTCAGCTTTATGAGAAGCTGCGAAAACAAAATCCAGACTTCGTATCCAAGATCGCCATCATAGAAGGCGACGTCGGCCAGACTGGGCTCGGCATGAAGGATGAGGACCGGGAGAGGGTTATTCAGGAGGTAAATCACCAAACCACGTGTTACAATAGAAGAAATCCCAAATTAGTTTCCTGGTCTATAAATACCAGAGCTATATAACATAACGTGTGTGTAGAGGTAGACAATTAGCGATTGCATCGCTGCTGCATCGCGTTTGCATCGCCTTTGCGTCTAGTATAATATTTATGTATTATGTTTAATATTGCTAGGACGGTTTAGTATTGTCTTAATTAATAGATAGTAGTGTTTTGTGTACGGGCCACCTTTAGCCGTGAAAGCCTCTACAACCTTTTCCAACAGACCTTGACTTGTACCAGTCTCGGCAATAGCGTTCCTGCTACCTCTGCAATGTCATCGCCCTACT